AGTTGCAGAAAAAATTGAGGATGTACTTATTTTGACTCCTTTCGATATAATAGCATTTGTTTAAAATGGTAGCGATCATTGTATATGTAACATTACATTCCTTCATGTCAAGTTTGGTGGGATTATTTTGTTGTCTTTCAACATATATACTTCGGCTGTTTCCCATTGCCACTCCTAGGTGGATTTCAGTGTGCAGGCTCTTGCAAATACCACTTTAATGCTGATGTTTCTTTCAGAAATGGTTTTGTGGTTTGTGTTATTTACATAAGGGTATTTCGTCATGTTTGAGGTTCAAAATGCCAGCCCTGATTCTTGCCAGCAAACACGGTTGTCTGAACTCTGCCCTGGGGTAATCATATTGCTCAAGTACTGTAGCTGTCAGTCCATCTATCAGGTGGCAGTCCCTGCACAGATAAAGGCAAGTTCAGGCACTTCATCCCGTGTGCTGCCTACTAATCTGAATTTGCTTCAGTGAGCTGTAGTGTTTAAATCCACAACAGCTGCAGTGTCACTGCACACATGCTCAAGCTGTAATCTGATAAGCCTCTCTCCAGCTGCAGGCAGCTTTATTCAATAGCACTGCACAGTGCCTGTTGCCTCGGGGACTGAACTGGCTCTGAGCAGCTCAAACCAGCTGGAACCGGTTTGTACAGGAAAGAGCTGGTTTGTGTTGCATACAGTCACCTTGCTGGGCTGAAGGGGGGCAGGGGGAGATTCTCACTGACCCCTCAACTGGAAAAATACACAGTTATTAGTTGACACAGTTTGCATGCCATGGCTAAGTACAAATGGGGAGAAAATAAGTGTCCTGTCAGTTCTTCTGTCCTTTAAGAGTTAAGATATTAATGCTTTCTGTGTGTAACAGGTAGTGCTCAGTGTACTATTGCTTACAGAGGCTCATGAGTTTAAAGAAACCTGTTACTGTGAATCATCACACAGCAAATCTGTTATTGCCACATTTAATGGCTATCTTTCTGTTCCGGTAATGCATCCATATATGTTCAGAATGGAAACTAGGTGTTGAATCCAGTCAGTTGTAGTATGTAATTAACATTAACTTACCAATTCAGGAGGCATTGAATTTCTTATCTGTAAATGTACATAAGTAGTTTGGTTTGGTTACCTAAATGTTTTTTTTTCTAGTTTGACAACCATGACAGTCTGTACACAGAGTGTTGTTTAATTATAAGTACATAATATACTATTAAAACCTTAAGGAAGGACAAAGATTTGGACTTGCAATCAACATTGTTCATTTTTCAAAAGTTGTGAAAGTCAAGTCACCTTTTGTCTTCAAGATGTGTGAAAAGATAGACTTGCATTTACACAAATGCTGTTAACTTTTGGCACCAGTTTCTGATATATAGCAATCAATCAATCAATTTTTTCTCTCAAGTCTATAATGTCAATTTTTTGTAACTACAGGGATGTTGACTGATCTGCTTTAAAAATCTAGTTAAGTCAGGTTCTGAATAAGATAGGACTGAAGCCAAAGTACCACTGAAAATGTAATGATGCAGTAGGGCTGGGCGAAATGACCTCAAATCAATGTCGCAACAGTTTCCCACATTTACCTCAATAACGAAAAATTAACGATATTTTTTGTGAAACCCTTGGAATTACATGATTACATGATATGCTGAAAGATCATGTTTTAAATATGCAGAACTATTAAACTTAGTAAATGTCAGGCACCACAGTTTGAGAAACATATTTTCTTGAGGGCACAGCGCAACTCTTAAGGGCATTGACGAGTCTTTTGAAACCACTATGCTCCACTGTAGTTATGTGAACCATGTCCTTCGCTGTGTAGTATTTAATGGCGTTAGTCGTCTCGTTGCATCTGCGGAAATCTTTTGCATATTGAGTGGCATTAGTGAATGTTTGTGTTGGAGACAGCTGTTTGGGGGAATCACTTCGGCCTTGATTTGTCATGTCTTTTTTGTCAGTATAGAAGTGCTATAAGTGAAAACTGTTATGTAAATATTGGTTAAAGTAGCTGCTGGGTATAGGGTGATTATGAGTTGGACTTATAGAGACATTTCTTATTAGTACCTACATTTTGGTAGGTTCTGCTTCTTTTTGACCCTTGAAGTGTGTGTAATGTTATCTCTGTTTCGTCTCTCCCAGTGAATGTGATGCGCTGCCCAGTTTGTCGACAGGAATATAAGCAGACAGACCTGGTGGATAATTACTTTGTGAAGGACAGCTCTGAGGTTTCCAACGGCTCAGATGAGAACTCAACACAGGTGAGTGGGCACTTCTGAATTGGGGAAACTGGGTTACTCTGTAAAGTGATTTCTTCATAAATTCCTGAGCACTGTGTTATTATCCATTATCCATTAGTCTTGCACTTTCACTGCTTGTAATACAGTGTTTCTGCTGTCCAGCCAAGGGCCTGAGGAGTTTGTGTTTCATGAGGACTGGACTTTTTGCCTTTGAGACTTTAATTGTAGCATCAGTATTGTTGCAAGTTGGGGGAGAGGCATAGACAATTGAAATAAGAGGCTAAAATTTCAGATATAAAATCTGTGCATCAAATTGTAAAACTTTATAACTATCTTTCTAGTATCTGAGAATATTGAGTGGTAAGGTGTATTATCTCTTTGTTCTGGGCACAATGGTGTTTATACTAGGAATTGAGTACCTGAGCCAAGCCTTCAACAGAACCGGTAAAAAAAAATTAACACTATAAATGAGGCACAAGTACGAGATCCTGCACAGGACAAATCTCCCTAAAAGAATGCTAACCAAAACCATTTTCCCTATACCTAATAAAAACCTGGGAGATGCTCCAAAAAGGAAATAAATATCCCCACCACAATATCGATCTCTTTTCTAAACTTCAGAGATTACTCAGAATAACTTGGTGAATTTGTGAGATCTGTCATGAAAAGGTAGAAACACAAATAGGTAGCTGTATCAGCATGCGTAGACTGAAAAGGAATAGGTAAAGGTTTATAGGCTTCCACATCTTCATTTCAGCATAAAATAGAACGTCTAAAATGCACAATGAGTTTCAAACTAAAACGCATGAAAAGAAGTTTAATTCCCAGACATGTATTTAAAGTCTTAAAGTGAATTTATATCACAGTCTGTTTTAATCAAGATGTCTTTATCAAGAGAGTACATACCACCATCCTAAGTCTACAAGCATGAGAATTCCTTTTGGCTTAACTTATTTAGTAGTAGGTGACTGAGCCAAGATAAGTGCCATTTGTTTGCTGGAAGCCAGGGTATTCTGTTCAATACATGGCTAGGTATCTTAAGAACAATTTTTATGACTCTGGTGTTGGTGGAAAAATGTGAGTGTTTGCACTCTCAGTGCACTACTCAAGGCCCTCAAGGAACTCAAGGTTCAGAAACCCTTTATCATAGTCTATAGTTTTGAGGTGTTTCCTTTGCTGCAGTTGAGATAAGAGGTCAAAGGGTGTTTCTCATGGTATACGTAATTTCAGGTGTTTGCATGTTCTCCTGGTGTCTGCCTGGGTTTCCTCCCACAGTCCACAGACATGTTGGTAGGCTAACTGACTTCCTGGAAAATTGGTACTGGTATGTGTCTGCCCTGTGATGGACTGGTGTCCAGTCCAGGGTGTATCCTGCCTTGAGCACGTTGTTTGCTGGAATAGGCTCTAGCTCCCCCATAACCCTGTATTGGACAACATAACATAACATCACTTTATTAGCCTATACAATTTCTTGCATTAAGAATTTGTCTTTTTGCACACCCCAACTTGCTCTCCATGAGACAAACACACAGGGAGAGAGAAGCCTGGGGTCAGAGCGCAGGGTCAGCCATTGTACAGCGCCCCTGGAGCGGCTGGGGTTACGGGTTAAGCCTTGCTCAGGGGCCCAACGGAGTAGGATTCCTCAGCCAGCTGTGGGATTTGAACTGGCAACCTTCCAGCCACAGGTGCAGATCCTTAGCTACAGAGCCACCACTCCGCCCACAGTTAGAAAATGGATGGATGAATAATGAGGGATACAAATTCAAGACCATAAATACAGTATACATACAGAGAAAAGGAAGATAGGAATGAGAATGAAACTGAGAGAAAGAATATTAACCCCTCTTGCTCAAAGCTTGTGTTCTGCAAGAGGGTCTTGTTCTATTCAGTTTCAGAGACCAGATTTTGGCTAAGTAATCTGAACATTACTGTGAACTTGCAGTCTTGTTTCCTGTGTTGCAGAATCTGCAAAAAAATCTCTGCTAGTTGGTAATTGATTTCTGGAATAGGAAGATTCCCCTTTGCTTTTGGCACTCTGTTGTAGAATGATGATAATTGCTTACACTTATATAGCGCTTTTCTGGACACTCCACTCAAAGTGCTTTACAGGTAATGGGGACTCCCCTCCATCACCACCAATGTCATCCACCTGGATGATGCAATGGCAGCCATAGTGCGCCAGAACGCTCACCACACATCAGCAATCAGTGGGGAGGAGAGCAGAGTAATCAAGCCAATTCATAGATGTGGGTTATTAGGAGCCCATAATTGGCAAGGGCCAGGGGGTTACACCCCTACACTACCCTGGGATTTATAAAGACCCCAGAGAGTCAGGACCTCGGTTTTTAGTCTCATCCGAAGGATGGCCCCTGTTTACAGTTTAGTGTCCCCGTCACTATACTGGGGCATTAGGACCCACATGGACCGCAGGGTGTGTGCCCCCGCTGGCCCCACTGACCCCTCTTCCAGCAGCAACCTTTGTTTTTCCCAGGAGGTCTCCCATCCAGGTACTGACCAGGCTCGAACCTGCTGAGCTTCAGTGGGCTGCCAGGTGTGAGTTGCAGAGTGATATGGCTGCTGGCCATATGATGGATAAAGGTCTCTTTTGTATGCAGGTCTTTTATTCTTTTTGTCCTGTTAAGGTGTTGCTTTCATGTTTCTTGGCGATGGGGCTAGAATACTGGATTTTCTGGGTATGTAGGATGTACCTTCTGGAACACAGATTTGTACATTCAGTGTCATGAAACAGTGTTCGCCTGATTTCCTCTATTAGTGCAGATTTGTGACACTGAATGTTTTCAGGTCTTCAACCAAAGACTAATATTAAATAAAGGGAACCTGAGTGAACAAATAACACATTTTTTACTAATTTCATTTATTTAATAAACAGTTATCCAACACCAACTGACACTGTGAGAAAAAGTAATTGTATAGTTAAATCAACCCAATTAAAGGGATAATTTAGAGTCTGCTGTTTAAACACAGCCAGGCTTGATTACAGCCAGCCCTGCTCAATATAAACCTCACTTTATTTTGACTCTTACCATCAGAGTCAAGTTCCAGCACAAAGATTCAACAAGCACATTATGCCACGATCATAGGAAATTCCTGAAGAGATCAGCAAAAAGTTGCTCTGGGACTCCACCAAACCACAGTAAGACGTAATCTCCAAATGGAGAACATTTGGAACAGTAGTGAATCTTCTAAGGAGTGGCCGACCTGCCAAACTTTCTCCAAGGGCGCAGCGTAAAATCATCCAGGAAGTCACAAAGGATCCTAAAAAAACATCCAAAGTACTACAGGCTTTCTTGCCTCGGATAACAGCAGTGTTCATGACTCCACAATCAGAAAGAGACTGGACAAAATTGGGCTTCATGGCAGAGTAACAAGGTGGAAACCACTGCTAACCAAGAAGAACATAAGTGCTCGTCTCTCATTTGCCAAGAAGCACCTGGATGATCCCCAAGCCTTTTGGGAGAATGTTCTATGGACAGAAGAGTCAAAAGTGGAACTTTTTGGACGACATGGGTCCCATTATCTCTGGCTTAAAGCAAACGCAGCATTTCACAGCAAGAACATCATACAAGCAGTCTAACATGGTGGTGGTAGTGTGATGGTGTGGGGATGCTTTGCTGCCTCAGGACCTGGATGACTGGCCATAATTGAAAGAACCATAAATTCTGCTCTGTATCAAAATTCTTAAGGAGAATGTCCGGTCATCTGTCTGTGAGCTGACACGTAGTTGGGTCATGCAGCAAAACAATGATCCAAAACACAAAGCAAGTCAATATCAGAATGGCTGAAAAGCTAAATTCTGGAGTGGCCTAGTCAAAGTCCAGACCTAAACACAATATAGATGCTGTGGCAGGACCTGAAACATCAGTGTTTCTGAATCAAAGCAGTTCTCTGACGAAGAGTGAGCTGAAATTCCTCCACAGCCATGTGAAAGACTGATATTGAATTATAGGAAGCGTTTGGTTGCAGTTGCAGTGGTTGGGCGCAACCATTTAAGTATAGCAATTACTTTTTCACACATGGGATATGGGTGTCAGATAACTTTATTAAATAAATGAAATAATCAGAGTTAAAAGTATTATTTGTTCACTCAGGTTCCCTTATCTAATATAAGATTTTGTCTAAAGATCTGAAAACATCCAGTGTGACATTAAAATGCAGTAATAGCGGAAATCAGGAAATACTTTTTCACTGCACTGTATGTCTTTGTGCAGCTTTGTATAGTTATCTTTATTATTGTTAAAGCCTTGACCAAGTTTGAGTCTGATTTATTACTCTCTCACCAGAGCTTTGCCAGAGAATAAAACATGTACTGAGCCTGCTAGTTTTAACTAAGAGTGTTTACAAAGGAGGGAAGGCCACTCAGACCATGTAGCTTGGTCCAGGCTCCCCCTCCCTTTGTGATAAGTGCCTCTTACTCTCTTGAATGTACTTTTGCCTAATGTTTTACTGTTTATCTTGTTGGCTTTTAAACCTTAGAGGATTTGGTGTACTTGGATCAAGTCCCCAGGTCCTGTCTCATCAAGATTAGAGATTCATTGTTTTTATTCTGTCGATCTTGGTGACCAATCCTGTTTTTTTGTATTTTTCTGCATGAGGTCTTAGTAATGCATTTTATAAGTATGTTTTAAAACTTTAATTATTAATGTGGTGCTTAAATAAAAATGCAGATTTGGTTTCTGCACATCATAAAGCAGCAAAGTGTAATACAGGAGTACAACTAGGCTATCAATAGTATAGTAAAATAAGGTTTCAGCTGTGCTCAATTTCTTGTTTTAACAATTTTTAAAAATACTTCAGAAGGATGGTCATGTGCCCTTTGTCCTGATGAGGACATTTAATACTTTGCGATCGCGATTGTCTGCTGTGGCATTTGTGTAAGCGAGTGAGTTCTACCCTCTTTTTGCTGTGGTGCAGGTGTGCACAAGCTGTGAAGACAACGCGACTGCAGTGGGCTTCTGTGTGGAGTGTGGCGAGTGGCTCTGCAAAACCTGCATTGAAGCTCACCAGAGAGTTAAGTTCACCAAGGACCACAAAATCAGGAAGAAGGAGGATGTCTCATCAGGTAGTTTCCTTTATAATGATAACAGCTCTGAACTTAATTTGAAAGCAAGCCTGAACATTAAATTTAAGGTAAAATATATTTTGAGGTGGTACAGTTTGAGATGCTTCCAGAGGAGCCTACAATACATGGAAATTGCGTGCTATACAAATCCCCAGATTGCTTCCCATACAGGAGGGGGCTCCCTTCTCCCTTCATTGAAAAGGGTGACAAGCAATAGCCAAACAGATGGAGAAGAGAGAAATTGCTTCACCAGCAGAACTAAGAAGGGAGAATTTAGCCGTGATGCCATGGGTTTAACACCCCCATCCTTACAAAAAGTGTCATGGCATCACTTAATAGCCCAAGTAGCCCAGACCTGAGTAACTTTTCATCCAACAGCACAGCACCTCCTGTCGAACAGTCTCTTGTCATTACACTTGGGCGTTGCTTTCCAATATCAGGTCCTGTAAGAGTACCACCTACTGGTGTGAATATATTTGTGTAAGAGATAGGTAGGTAGAGGAAAAGTGCATTTTTTTATCTTGTTTACACAAGTAAGGGACAGAAACTGCTTCAGAGAAATGTGTATATGCATGTGATCATAGACCTTGGGGGGGTTTGAAGGCAACTGTCTAGTGTTTTGGCAAAGCATAGCAGCTGAATGCATGATGGGTGGTGTTCCAGCCTCCCACAGACCCCTGCAGGCTCTCGGAGTGTGTGTGTGTGAGACAGCTCTCCTGGGAGCACCGGCCTCTTCACTTCCAGCACGGCTGGTTGCCATGGAGATTTTGCAGCTCTACCAGCTGACATTTCTGATAAAATGCACTGATTTTTGTCTTATTTTCTGCTTTGCTTTTTTCCAGTTGCTCAGAAATATCAAAAATGCGCTGCACTTTTCTTTCACTATTAAGGCACAGTTTCTAAAGACTCAAGGTGTTTCATTAGGATAGTATACTTGAAACTCTCAAGCATAAGTTCATTCGGCAGTACATTCTGTTAGTGGTTGTGAACAATGAGAAGATGATGGACTATCCAGAAGTATGGATAGTATGGATTCACTTAGTTACTATCTTGCCAAAATATACTCAGGTATGAAGAAATATTTACTTGCAAAATACCATTAATTTGCAGTACAGGGCGGGCAGCTCTCTACAGACATACCTGCTTGGTGACCTAGTAGCATCATCGTATATTGTAGGTAACTTAATTCTTTACGCTGTCTTAACTATGACTGCCTGAAATGAATTAGCATTCGGTGAGGCCGTCTGCAGCTCCCTGTGCAGAAGTGCTTGCTGTAGCTTCGATATTTTCACATGGTAGTAGATGCTGAGAGAAAGCAGGAAAGCTTAGCAGCAGGTGGTTCACAGGAATCCGGTTGTGTCCTCACCCCCTGGGTTGCAAGTTATTGTTAGCTAGGATGATGGATAGTAGCAAATGAATGAAGTGGTGGCAAAACAAAAGAATTACAGCGTCAGCTGTTGGTTATTTCGTTGTTTCTGTACTTTTGTTCTTACTTCTAAATTCACGTCCGTGTAAGTTACCACTTGTCCTCTGGTTTGTGTTCTGTTCTTTAGTGTTGCTGAAGTATTTCTTTTTACTTTTTCTGAAAACATCCATTGGATTGACTTTATTGCTTTTGAAGATTTTAAATTCAGCGTTCCCTTGCTTTAACAGAATAATGGGGGGAATGGTGCCCGTTATTGCTGTGTGTACATTAAATCACAAATAACTTTTTTCACCCCAAACACACTATTTTATGAGAAATGTATATTATCCATATATGGATCTTTAGAATATTATTTTAGAAAGGGCAGTCAACAGAGTCAATGAAAATTGTTCCTGTGCTTTTATCATAAACATGCAAGCTCTTTATTTCATGTATCATAAAAATAACATTATTAAAGCATACTAAACACAAACACCCAATTGACCTACAGTACCTGTGTAGGGCACCACTGGCTTTTAAACCTGTGAATTTTTAACTTATTTGTGCAAATTCCACAATTTCTTATTTTACGGACAAAATTCCACTTTGGCATAATTGGTCCCTTAAAGCAAAGTCTGTTAGACTGAGGGTATACTGTACTGGGATCAGGGCTCCTCGTAGATTTCTCTGTTCAAGCAAAAAAGGTTAAGTTTTTTTAGCCTGTCAGTATACAGTATTTCTTTAAGGCCCAGAATGTATCTGGTTACTCTTCTCTGGACTGATTCCAGAGCAGCAAATCTTTATAATATGGTGGACAAAATATTCGACTTGGATTTTACTAGTGCATTGTAAATTAACACCCTTTTGATAGAAATTCTAAGCTTTTTACTATAGATCTTATTATTTTATTTGCATTTATTAAACATGCTACCATCTGCATTGGTAGTGCCAGATTAGGAAATACTTTTATTAAGCCTTATTGTGTCCTGAAAATGTCAATGTTTATTATTTTTTTTCCCACCAAGCCTACAGTGATTTTTATCTGAATTAAACAAATATGACCATAATCTGGATTATCACCCATCAGTAAACAAGTACTTGTGCAATACTATTGTGAAAGTTACTCTGTCTGTCCCCTCCTCTCCCCCAGTTTTTGTTCTCCCGCTACATTACCTTTGCTTACTGCCCTGTCTTTCTCACACCTCAAGAAGGCTCCACGGCCGAAACGTTGTGTTTTCTTTCTTCTCTTTTCAGCATGGAATAAACCTTTTACTTGTTCCTTTGCATGCTGACGCAGCTACCCACCTGAACTGAAATTGATGAAATTTGCAAAGCTCGTGGGAAAGCTAAGGTTGCTGCTGGTTAGTGGGGCTAGTAGGGGGGCATTCACCCCCATATACCCTGCGCTCCTAATGTACCAGTTTAGTGACGGGAACCCTAGACTGTAAAAAGGCCCCATCCTTTGGATGCGATTTAAAGGTCCTGATTCTCTGTGGTCATTCAAAATCCCAGGGCATTTCTTGAAAAGAGTAGGGGTGTTTCCTGGTATCCTGGCCA